GAGGTGCAGAACCCAGGGGGGACCCTGAGGGAGCTGCAGTGGGTAGCTGTCCAGCTGGGAGCCTGGGACCTGTTGTCTCCCCTTGAGACGGGCTTCTTCTGACCTTCGTTCTGGGGGCAAGGCTGGGGGGCCTGGGTGGGGTGCATTAGGGGTATGTGGGGAGGAAGAGACAGACAGACAGCCGGGCTCCTTCCTGATGAGGTCTGGAGTTCCGGAGGCTAGGGGGCAGCAGGAGCAGGTGGGGTGGGGAGGTGGTGAGAACCTGAGACCCCCAGGAAGCGCTGGGAGAAGCCTTTGCCTGTTGGGGCTGTCAGGTCCACATGGCTCAGTGTGTTGACCTTCACAGCTTCTGGGGAGGGGAGAGATGATCTGGTGGGGGTGGGGAGGGCTAGGGGAGGCCTCAGGCCTAGGGTAGTGCAGGGGGCCCTCTAGGGGCTGGGCAGTGCTAAGGCATAAAAGGCTTCCCTGGTGGCATTTGAGGAAGGTGCCCAGGTGAGAGGGGCATGGGAACCCCTCACCCTGGGAGGAAGAGGAAAACAGGGAGCAAGGTGGGAGTGGGGGTGGGTGAGGCTTTGGACACCCATTTGGGCTCTGGGGAGACTCTCCCCTCCCTAGGGCTTCCTCCTGGGCAGTTACCCGCCGAGCAACCTGTGGGCATGCTGGATATTCCCAAGGTCTAGAGGAGTTGGGTGGGGGAGGGTGGTTGGTGCCCTTCAGTCCTCTGCACCCCCTCCCTCTCCAACACCAGCTCACCCTGGTATTTGTCATGTCAGCAGGAGAAGGTCACCATGTTGTTTTTCTCGCCCCCAGTCCTTCCTTCCTGCCCCAGTCCAAATTCGTCCTCCTACTTGACCTTAATACTTACCCGTGGCTTTGGACCACGGACTCAAGGGGGCAGCGAGAGCAAGGAGAGGGAAGGGTGGGGAAGGGACCGGGCACCCGGCGTGGCATTCTAGTGCTTTCCTCCTGCATTTTGAGCTCCCTACCCTGTAACATGTGGTTAGTCTTTAACTTCCTTGGGTTCAGAATTGGAGCAGTCTAGGTGAGGTGGGCGTGCTTTATGCTCGTGGGGACCACCACTGGGCTCTGTTCCACTCAGAAGTCTCGGAGAAGCCAGAGGCTGTGGGCTGGGAGGGGAGCAAAGAGGGAGGAGGAGCTGTGTGACTGGGCCTCTGCACCCCTATCCATGCCCAAGCCCATGCCCTGCTCTCTGTTCTGTCCTCAGTGGTCCCAGGCTGCGCCCATGGCAGAAGGAGAGCAGAATCGCCACCAAGGTGAGTCCCTCCTGTCCCCTCAGGGAATGGGTGGGGAGGCCTAATTCCAGGCAGGCAGGGTGTGGAATGTGAGGATCAAGAAAGCAAGAGCTGGACACCATGAGGTTAACCCTTCGGTTTCTTGAGGACCCCCTCTCCTCTGTCCATGCCTCTGCTAGAAACAGGACTTGTTGCCTTTGTTCTGCTCTTCCCAGTACAATTTTATTTGGAGAGGGAGCTGTGAGCTCAGACGGGAGAACAGTATTCAAAGAGCCCAGATGTCAGGGGGGTGTCCCTTGTCTACTCCTTCCAGGGGAGGGCAGACGTTCGATGTCCCTTCCTACATAGCCATGTCCCACTTGTGGGAGCTGTGGCCCTTCCTGTGTGAGCTGGAGACACAGAGGGCTCCCCCATGGGGTCTCCCCTCCCCGCCCCACTTTGCATTCCTTTGGGGGTGGAGAAAGCCCCGGTGGACAAGGTTTGGGTGCTGTGAACTTCTCTCCCAGGCCAGCAGAGGGCTGGCTGTAGCTCTAGGCGCCCCGCCCCCCTGGCTAACCCGGAGTCCGCCTGCCTTTTGTTCCGCTGTGGTTTGGAGTAGGGATCCTCCCATTTCTCTGGGGACGCCCTGGCTCTCCCCACCACTGAACGTAGCCCATGCTCCCACCCAATGCCACTCCCCCCGCCCTCCACCTCTGAGGAGGGAAGGCCCTGGGGTCTTCCTTTAGGTGAGTTTTTTTGACCCAAATCCAGTGTGGCCGGTCGGCCAGTGGTGATGCCCAGTCGGTTCTGCCTCCTCCTTCCCCACCCAGGAGCCCTTTCCTTGGCCCAGGACCTGGCTTCCCAGCCACTGACAGTGCCCCCCCGCCCCATGGCACCCAGCACACCACCCACCTTCTTTGGCTTCCCGGTGGTCTCTGTGGTCTGGGAGAGGCAAGACAAATGGTCTTTGTTTGCTGGAGAAAAGGTTGTCTGTGATAAATAAGGAAAAGCACAAGAACCTGATGTTAGAGGTATGTGTGTGTACCCCTCCTGCGGCAGGGGGCCGCTCTGAGAAGAATGACCCGTATGAGGGGTGCCTGTGAAATTGCCCCCTCCACCTCCCATGGGCTTTTGGATTCCAGGGAGAAGTTCTTCGAAGAGATTCCCAGCTGAGGTCTTTTTGACCCTTAGCTACCAACTCCTCACACAGGCAGACCTTTCTGCTATCCCCTCCTGGTAGGGCCACACGCCGGGGCTACCTGTGTCTCAACCCTGACAAAGGGTCACTTCAGAAGCTCTTGATTTGTTATCTTCCATATAGACTTGGCTTAAAAATGCCTTTTTCAGACTTCTGGTCTCATTCACTCCTTTTGACGATACCTTTACCTTAACTCTTTGGGGGTAGAGAAGGATTATGTGCCCATTGGTCTCCTGGACAGGAGGAGTAGAGACCTCAGGGAAGCCAGGGGACTGACCTGGCTGCCCCACTGTTCTTTCTGCTTCCCCACCTGTGGCTTCCTCCCCAGCCAACTTACTGTACACATGCCCTCCGCATCTCATCTTCCTTCACTTACCTTTCTGGAACACAAACCTTGGAGGGAGGAGTGAGGAGTGGAGGGTGGCAGTCCGTGGGGTATACACTTAAAACACCTTGGTGGCATTCTAAACTTTGTATTTAGCTGAAGAAAGGGCATTTGTCAGGGCTGGAAATGGAAGACAAAACCCCACATTTCGGCCTCCGTTCCAGTGTCTTTAGAGATCAGCCCAACCCATTTATACAGATGAGCAGATTTGAAGGCCCAGAGAGGGAATGGACTAACCCAAGATCACACCAAGTCACAGCCAGAGCCTGGACCTCCCCACTGGCTGGGTGTTATTTTTCTTTTTTGTGTAGAGGACCCCTTTTAAGGACAGGATTGCTCTGAGGTGGCAGCTGGGGGTGTGATGGGAGTGGCAGGCTGGGTCACAATTTGGAGTAGTTATGCCAGAGTCCTGCATTTATTTATCCTCAAGGGCCCCGCCCCTGTGGCCCAGAATTACCCCTTCATGCTCCAGTGCACCCTAGGCTCCACAGCCAGCCTGGGAAACTGTCTTTACCCTGGTCTCCCTCCAGATCAACTTCTAGAAATGCTTCGTGGCTGCAGTGGCAGCACTGTTTTTTCCATGATGCAAGCAGTTTGCCCTCTTGGGCGGGGTTATCGGTGGCTGGCAGGGCTGGCACAGCGTGCCCGCCCACTGCCACCTGCTGGTTTCAGGCGGGCCCAGCCCTTGTGCAGATGCCCACTACCTCCTCCACCCGTATTTGGAGAGGGGGCTGGCAGGTGGCAAGGTACCTTGCATGACATAGGCTTGGGAAGGCTTTGATGTCAGAGGTGATTCTAATCTACCATTTACTAGCTGTGTGACCTTAGGGCAGGTTACTTAGTTTCTGTGGCCTCCAGTTCCCCATCTGTAAAATGGAGTTCAAGTAGTGTTTAACAGTATCGTCTGGGGAAAATTGTATGAGATGATAACTATGAACTACTGGATACAGTACACAGCATGTACTAAGTGTTCAAAAAGTAGCTGCTGCTATAACTGAAGTTAATGGCAGTGGCTGTGGGGAAACGGAAACCAGCTTAGCAAAGCTGGCTGTTCCTCCTTTCAAGGGAAGCTTAGAGCACCTACAGTGGGTATCCCCATTTTCAGACTGTTCTCTGGCATTGAGGTTGACCCAGGAATTGGCTGAGGTGTCACAGTGAGGTGGGGTGATCAGATGTGTCAGGCCACCTCTCTTAAGCCTTGATGGCATCGTGTGATCTTTGGAATAAAAACAGACTTTCACCAGTATTGATGGTGGAAAGTTTAGAGAGGTGATTCAGATACAGCAGGAGGGATTTAAGTTAGATTTTGGAAGGACTTGCCTGATGGTGGGTACAGAAGCCCCAAAGAGTGGCCTTACAGAGCTGGGTGGAGATAGGGGCTGACCATATTTTGGGTCACTCACGGGATTCATGTGTCACCCCCTCCCACGCAGTGGTGAAGTTTATGGACGTCTACCGGCGCAGCTACTGCCATCCGATCGAGACCCTGGTGGACATCTTCCAGGAGTACCCTGATGAGATCGAGTACATCTTCAAGCCGTCCTGTGTGCCCCTCATGCGATGCGGGGGCTGCTGCAACGATGAGAGCCTGGAGTGTGTGCCCACCGAGGACTTCAACATCACCATGCAGGTGGGCACCTTTGGGGAGTGGGGGTGGGGGGTATAGGGAGGGGCACAGGACTTCGGGAGCAGGGGCTGCTAGGCTCTTTCCCAGGAAGCTCTTGTGGGAAAGAGCCAGCCTTGCCTTGCCTGGCTCCGGCCCCTGAGCCAGCGGGGAAGCTGTGGTGGGTCTTGCCTGTGGAGAAGATGCTTGCATCTCCCAGCAAGCCTCAATCCCCTCATCCTGATCTTTGCCCCCCGGGCTCCAGAGGAGGCTGATGCCTGAGACAGGAGTTGCTGTCTTCCTCTCTTGGAGGGAGCCCTGAGGGCCTTTCCTCTCTGGGACTGGGGAGAGGCTCTGTTTGGGAAGGTGGATGAGCCTGGCCCTGGAGAGTCTGAAAAGCGTCTTTTGGTGCTGCCTTGTGGTGGGGCCTGTCTCAGCCCAAATAGGGCATGAGGGAGCTATGAGGCACAGGGAGGGCGTGGTCCTCTGCGAGGGCTCAGGGTGAGGCTTGGGGGGGGGAGGGAAATAAAGAAAGGGGAGGGGATGGGGAGTGGTGAGAACCCAGGATTTGAATTCCCAGCCTGGCCAACCCTTGCAGCCATGTCTGCCCTCAAGTGGAGCAGGGGCTCCTTGAGGCCAGCAGGGTTGGGGGAGTTGGGGCGGGCCTGAGGCTCTTTCTGCTAGAGCTCCTGGTCCCCCCTGCCTCCACCACCCATCCCTGCTCTGTAGAACCCCTGGGTGCTGAGTGGCAGGAGCCCCGGGGTGTCCCATCTGGGTATGGCTGGCTGGGTCACTAACCTCTATGATCTGCTTCCTTCCCCTCTAGATTATGCGGATCAAGCCTCACCAAGGCCAGCACATAGGAGAGATGAGCTTCCTACAGCATAGCCAATGTGAATGCAGGTGAGGACGAGGTCATGGGTTCATTTGCTGGCATGCAGTTGCAGGGTGTCCGATCTGTGCCTGGGATAGGGATGCGGCGCATCAACATGCCTCAGTTTCTACATCTGTAAAATGGGCATGATAATAATATACCTCGTAGCATTGTTATAAGGAATAAACAAGTATTATATATGAAGACATTATTATATAGAAAGAGATATATAAAACAGTGTTGTATTGCCATAAACATTAGGTTTTTAGTATTATGATGATCATTCCTATCACTACTGTCACCATCTTAACTCCTCATTGTTTTGTTCTCTTCTCTCTCCCTACCCCTTGCAGACCAAAGAAAGATAGAGCAAGGCAAGAAAAGTAAGTGGCCCTGACTTTGGCACTTCTCCCTCTTCTCAGCTGGTTGTCTTGGTTTGGGGCTGTTGGCGTCCTTTCTTGGAGGCCCTGACGGCCTCTGTGGGCCAGGGAGTTGGTCTTGTGGGGCACTTGTGGTGGTGGCAGCAGCGGTGGGATGGAGCCAACTCCAGGGTTAATGAGAAAACCCAGCCAGGAGGCCGGTGCCTCCTTTGGAAGAAACAATGGCTTCCAGGTCTCCAGATGGTTCCTGGTCAGGACTTGCTACTTTGGCGTGTCAGGAGGCAGTGTGGACACTAGCCCCCTGGCTTGCTCCAGGGCACTCACAGCAGGGAGAGGGAGTGGGTGGCAGAGAGGCCAGCTTTGGTGTCAGAGGAAATGGTCTCTTTTGGTGGCTACTGTGGCGGTACAGTTGGATTTGAGGCTGGCTGGGGGCTTCTTGGTACGTGCCCCTCGGAAGGAGTGGGGCAGGCAGCAGACATACAGCCCTCTTGGCCAGGGAGGAGAAGTTGAATGCTGGTCATTTTCTGAGGCTTCCAGTTGCTCAGCGTGGAGAGGCGAGTTGGGATGGGGACAAGGTCTGGGGACGGCAAGACTTCAAGACAGGGTTGAGCGTCTGGCGTTGGGGACAAACTTACATGCATGCATTTACAGGGAAAGAGAGACTGAGAGAGAGAGAGCACCTGTGCCCTGCCCCTTCCGTTCCCCTCCACCATCCTGTCTACCCCCAATGCTCTGGGACATTGAAGCCCCCTAGGCCTCAACCCCTTGCCTTTTCCCTAAGCCCCCAGTTTCTGGAGGGCGAGTATTAGAAGACTCTCCTCCTTCCATCCTTCAGGTGCTTTCTCCTGAGGGGTAACAGACTTTCCCCCTCTGGCTCCTTCTCCCCCTCCTTCCTTGCCGTGACAGGCCTTCTGAGATGTGTTCTCCTGGACCTGGCAGGCATGGAGAGTGCTGGTTCCCTTGAGGGGACAGGCTACAGCCTGCCCCCTTGCTCATTTCCCCAAAATGCCTACTTTGCCCACGAGGAGAGTGGGGGGCTCGCCTGGGCTCGGAAGAGAGTCTGGTGAGATGGTGTAGCAGGCTTTGACAGGCTGGGGAGAGAGCTCCCTGCCAAGCACCGCCCAGGCCCCTCCTCCCCAACCCTCCCTAACTCCTACTCCCCCTTCCTGCCTGCCTGGGGCTCCAGGACACCCAGCCTCGACTCTCAGCCCAGGTTATGGCCCAGCAGGGCGGAGCCTTTCTGTGCTGCTGTTGGTTTTGTGCCAGCTCCCGGGTAGCTGCTCCTCACGCCGGGATTCCCAGAGGCAGGGCCCAGAGGACCCCTACCACACTGGGAAACGGAGGCAGAAGGCCTGAAGCACAGCCTCCGCCTCACCCCCCGCCCTCCATCGAGTTGGGTCTCTGACTTTCTCCCCAAAGTCCGGCCTACCTTCATTGCCCCGACCTTCAGGGTCAGATTCGGCCAGAGTGGTTGGGCCTAGAGCCTGCTCTAGGGCTTTGCTCTGCCTGGGACCCGGCGCGGCATGGGGGCCCTTGGTCCTGTGTCCTCTTCCCTCGTCTCTGCTCCTACCCAGAGCCTTGCCAGGGTGGGCCGTGAAGAGAAGGAGCCACCCGGTGCCTCTGCTCAGACACGCCTGTGCGTGCCGTGTGCTCGCCTCCCCGGAGACCACCTGCCTCCTGCCATCATGCTCCGGGGAGCAGCCTGGTGGGCTTTGCTCCAGCCATTCCCACCCCTGTCCTCCTCACTGCTGCTTTTGCTCTCCCCTTTCCCCCCTCCCTCCCTCGCTCTCTCTCTCTGTCTGTCTCTGTTTTTTTATTTTCCAGAAAATCAGTTCGAGGAAAGGGAAAGGGGCAAAAACGAAAGCGCAAGAAATCCCGGTATAAATCCTGGAGCGTGTACGTTGGTGCCCGCTGCTGTCTCATGCCCTGGAGCCTCCCCTGGCCCCCAATCAGACCCCTGCCTGCGGTACCCCATAACCCTGCCTCCTTTCCTTGGTCCCTCCTGGCCCGTGTCTCTCTCTCTCACTTCACTAATTGGCACCAGCGGGTAGATTTGGTGGTGGCATTGCTGGTCCAGGGTTGGGGTGGGTGGGGGGACCTGGAGGATTCAGGGAGGGGACTCTGGCTTGGCTGGGCACCGACTTTCTCTCACACACTGGGCACTGGTGGCGGGCCCGTGCTGGCACCGGTGCCAGGCACTGGTGCCTGCTTGCCCACCTGGTTTCCGCTGCTCTAGGCTTCTGCACTCGTCTGGAATCTGAGGGTGATGGGGAGGGCAGACAGGGTGTGAGGCAGGGCTGCGAGTGACCGGAGACAGCTTGTTGAACGACTCCTCAGTGGAAGGAGGAGGGTGGGTGCTGCCAGGCACCATGTGGTGGCCCCTCTTCATCTGGTGGAAGTGCACGAACTTGGGGCCTCTGGAGAGAAATCTCCTATTCCAGCCCAACCCATGGCGCCCACAGAAGCCTCCTTGTAGGGCGGCGTCTTCCTCTGGGTTAGGTGACGGCTGTGGTGGGGCCTACCCCGGGCCCGCTGGCCACTAGTGGCTGGCCTGTGGACACTGTCTCTGGACTTAGACTCCCATCACACCCTACTTAGCCCACCCTTGGTGGAGGGGCCTGGGCATGAGTCCTTGCACGGGGAGAAGGTGGCCCCTAGTGATCTCAGTGACCCTCGATTGCCATCCCAGCAGGTGAAGCAGTTGGGGCCTGTGGCCCGAGACTTGCCTTTGTCTCCCTGGGACGCAGCACTGCCCTGTGGCAGCCTCTCCCTGCACTCTCTGCCCGTGTGTGCCCGCCTCTTCCTCAGGCAGACAGCCTAGCCAGTGCTGCCTCTTTCTGCCACTCTCTCTGTCTTCTGCTGTAGTGCTTGGACCCTTCCAGGGTGTGGAAGGGCATGGGGGCCGAGCAGCCGGGTGGGGGTGCCGCTGCGGATGTGTTAGGGGGTGTTGCATGGTGTTTTTTTCTCTCTCTCTGCTGATGCTCTAGCTTAGATGTCTTTCCTTTTGCCTTTTTGCAGTCCCTGTGGGCCTTGCTCAGAGCGGAGAAAGCATTTGTTTGTACAAGATCCGCAGACGTGTAAATGTTCCTGCAAAAACACAGACTCGCGTTGCAAGGCGAGGCAGCTTGAGTTAAACGAACGTACTTGCAGGTTGGTTCCCAGAGGGCGAGTGAGTCAGAGAGGGGCATCACACAGAGATGGGGAGAGAGAGAGAGAGAGAGAGAGAGCGAGAGCGAGAGTGAACGAGAGAGCACGCACGCCTGAGAGGGGCCAGCTGCTTGCTCGGCTTCTTGCTGCCTGCCTTCTCTGCTTGCAAGGCCCCAGCGGTGGGCACTGGTCTGGCCTGGCGGGGCCTGTTCAGAGGTTGCACTGGTTGAGTGGGTAGGCTGGTGTGGCTTAATGTGGTGGTGTGGACGCAAGCTGTGTGTTGTGTCCCGTGGTCCTGCTGTTCGTAGTGGCTGTTGGTCCTGATGTTGTTCTTATGACCTCCTGGTACTAGTACTGAGGAGCCCAGAGCCCTTCCAGGTGTGGTTGGTATCAACACAGCACAGACTTTCTCATCTGGGCTTCACCACTACCTGGGAAGCTGGCACTGCTGGGCTTCTCATTCACTCAGTATTTCTCCGTAGAGGCAGGGCTTGAGTCTTCCGCCCTCATACTAGGGCTCCCTGAGTCAGGGCTGTGTCTCCCCCCTCAGACTTGGGCTCCTGCTCCCTGAGGACAGGGCTGTGTTTCTCCCTCAGACTGGGGCTCCTTGAGGACAGGGCTGTGTTTCTCCCTCAGACTGGGGCTCCTTGAGAACAGGGCTGTGTCTCCCCCATCAGACTTGGGCTCCCTGAGGGCAGGACTATGTCTACCCCCTCAGACCAGGACTCCCTGAGGATAGGGCTATGTTTCCTCTTCAAACTGGGGCTCCCTGAGGATAGGACTATGTCTCCCTCCTCAGACTGGGGCTCCCTGAGCACAGGACTGTGTTTCCCTCCTCAGACTGGGGTTCCCTGAGAACAGGGCTGTGTCTCCCCTCACACTGGGGCCCTCTGAGGAGAGGAATGTGTATCCCCCCTTAAACTGGGGATCCTTGAGGACGTGGCTCTGGCTGTTAGTTTAGGAGGGACCAGTACATTGAAGAACATGTAGCATTCGAGAACACTAGATAACCTTTAATCCTGCACCAGTCAAGGTGACAATCCCAAGCAGCCCACGCATTTCCAGATGCCCCCAGGAGGGGTGGAGAGAGGAGGCCATGCCTACTGTCCTGTCATTAGACTGCGAACCCTTAAGTCTGGACCTGTTTGCTTTTTAAACTTTGTGACCCCCAGGCATCTGTACCTCTGTCCCTTGTCCATGGTGGGGACCGAGGAAGTGTCAAGTGCATGAGCAAATGCATGACTGAGTTCAGGGGTGAGGCCAGGAACACAGGATGGGAACCGGGGGCTGCCAATCTGTTGATGCCTCATTCTGTGTTCTTTATACCAGTCCGGCCCTTGCTCAAGGTGAGGGAGGCCCCTGGGCCAGGGGAAGCTTCACCCAGAGAGGAGGCGCTTTTATAGACCTTCCCCAAGTAGGGCCAGGGTGTTCCCATCTAGTGCAGAGGCTCCATTCACAAAGTCCTTGGAGCGTCTCCCCTTCCCATGTGTTCCTATGGCTGTGGGTGCTTGGGTGATGCCAGGAGCCAGGCCCTGGATTGTTGGTGTGCCTTTCTGTCTGCCTGGGCTCTGTGTGAAGACAGGAAGGGTATGTCAGTGATGAAGGGTGGGGGTTCTGCCTGTTGCCAGGGCTGGACGAGGGGTCTCAGTTCCCCAGGGGGACCTGGGTGAGACAAGGGACTTGACATTTTAGGGTTTCTGTGGTGATTATTCTGCAGATGGAGGTGTGTGTAAAGTGGCTAAAGTTACCCTAGCTTCCAGATACTTTACTCAACCCCCAAGCTGGCTGTGTCTAGGAACTTCAGTTTCCAGATGGGAGGCATAAGACCCCCGTTCCTAGGCTTTCCAGAAGGGCAGGGCCTGTTCTGTCTCCTCCTCACAATCAGCCCAGGGACGGGTATGATGAGAAAGTCCTCAAGGGTTCCCTCTGCTTCAGCAGGAATAGCAGAGCCACAAGATTGTCTTTCTTCACCCTAACAAATTAAATAGCATTTTGAAAAGGAAAGGCAGTCTGGTACCTGGGGCCACAACTTCTGGCCAGCACAAGAGGGGGGAGGCCACCTGGAGGGTACATGGGGAATGGAGATGTTCCCTCCCCTTCCTGGGGGCCCAAGGGCAGGCAGTTCTCACTGCGGGCCTCCCCGGCTGGCCTCCTTGCCAAGTCTCCCTGCCTCAGGTTGTCCTCCCTGAAGCTCTGCCCACTCTCTTCCCCAAACCAGCCCTGTAGAGACTGAGTTGAAAAGCCTCCTGTAGGGCCCCTTTTCTCATGGACTCATCCTGCTCTGGGTACCCGACAGCTCTTACAGTATCCAGCAGGGACTGTTATTTGATACTTGTTCACTTGTTGCTTTGTGACGTGCTCCCGCGTCTTTGTCTTGTCTTGAGTAGATTGTAAGCTCTGGAGGGCAGATGGGAAACAACTGAGTGTGGCTGCTGCCCGTGCTGGGACTCTCGAGGGTGGGGGCTGGGGCTGTCCCTCACAGAGGGGCTGTCTGTCCCAGGACTGCACCTTCCTGTCCTCTCTGCTCTGACGGCGCCAGAGGCTGTGGGGACCCAGGGGCTCCCAGGCATGGGGAGGCTGCCTGCCTCATTGCTGGGTCTCCTCACCTGGACCTAACCTCAGCCTTTGTTTTCCGTCTCCCCTAGATGTGACAAGCCAAGGCGGTGAGCTGGGCAGGAGGAAGGAGCCTCCCTCAGGGTTTCGGGAACCAGACCTCTCACCAAGGAAAGACTGATGCAGAATGATGGAGACCGAAGCCACGCTGCCGCCACCACATCGCCATCACCATCGACAGTCCTTAATCCAGAAACCTGAAATGAAGGAAGAGGAGACTCTGCGCAGAGCACTTTGGGGTCGGAGGGCGAGACTCCGGCAGAAGCATTCCCGGGCGGGTGACCAAGCACGGTCCCTCTTGGAATTGGATTCGCCATTTTATTTTTCTTGCTGCTAAATCACCAAGCCCGGAAGATTAGAGTTTTATTTCTGGGATTCCTGTAGACACACCCACCCACATACATACATTTATATATATATATATATATATATATTATATATATAAAAATAAATATATATATTTTATATATATAAAATATATATATTCTTTTTTTAAATTAACAGTGCTAATGTTATTGGTGTCTTCACTGGATGTATTTGACTGCTGTGGACTTGAGTTGGGAGGAGAATGTCCCTACCCAGATCCCAACAGGGAAGAGGACGGGATGAGAGACTCTGGCGTGATCTTTTCTGACCCTCTTGTAGGGGCCAGGGTCCTCTCCCCTGCCCAGGAACGTGCAAGGCCAGGGCACGGGGGCAAACATGACCCACTTTTGGGAACACCGACAAACCCAGCCCTGGCCCCAAGCCTCTACCCCGAGTCAAATGGACAGAAAGACAGATGACAGATACAGGGACGAGGACGCTGGCTCCGACTAGGAGCTTGGGGAGCTTCAGGACATTACTGTGCTTTGGGGATCCCCTCCACATGCTGCATGGGCATCTTGCCCCCGGGGGCATTGTCCAGAAGATTTAAGAGCCTGGGCGGCCTTCAGCCACTCTCACCTGCTTCCTAGTTGCCCGGAGGCCACTGACAGATGTCCCTGCGGAGAGAAGAGACATTGGTGGAAGAAGCGGCCCGGTGACAGCTCCTCCTCCTGGGACCCACCCTCATCCTGTTCCTGCTCCCCTTCCTGGGGTGCAACCCAGGAGGACCCGATGTCCTCAGACCATTGAAACCACTAGTTCTGTCCCCCAGGAGACCTGGCTGTGTGTGTGTGAGTGGTGAACCCTCCTCACCCCCAACCTTCCCTTCCTGAGGCACAGAGAGACAGGGCAGGGTCCACGTGCCTGTCGTGGAGGCAGAGAAAAGAGAAAGTGTTTTATATACGGTACTTATTTAATATCCCTTTTAAATTAGAAATTAAAACAGTTAATTTAATTAAAGAGTAGGGTTTTTTCAGTATTCTTGGTTAATATTTAATTTCAACTATTTATGAGATGTATCTCTTGCTCTCTCTTGCTCTCTTATTTGTACTGGTTTTTGTGTATAAAATTCATGTTTTCAATCTCTCTCTCCCTGATTGGTGACAGTCACTAGCTTGTCCTGAACAGATATTTAATTTTGCTAACACTCAGCTCTGTCCTCCCCTTTCCCCTGGCTCCCCACCACACATTCCTTTGAAATAAGGTTTCAACATACATCTACATACTATATATATATTTGGCAACTTGTGTTTGTGTGTGTGTGTGTGTGTGTGTATATATATATATATGTTTATGTATATATGTGATTCTGATAAAATAGACATTGCTATTCTGTTTTTTATATGTAAAAACAAAACAAGAAAAAATAGAGAATTCTACATACTAAATCTCTCTCCTTTTTTAATTTTAATATTTGTTATCATTTATTTATTGGTGCTACTGTTTATCCGTAATAATTGTGGGGGAAAAGATATTAACATCACGTCTTTGTCTCTAGTGCAGTTTTTCGAGATATTCCGTAGTACATATTTATTTTTAAACAACGACAAAGAAATACAGATATATCTTAAAAAAAGCATTTTGTATTAAAGAATTTAATTCTGATCTCAGAGCTCCTCTTGGTTTCTCCTTCTCCATCGAGTCCTTGTTCTAGATGTCTTCTCACCCCCTTTCCCTCTTCCTTTGGGGAACATGGCACTTGTCTTAGGTCTGGGAATGGGGTGCCTCGTGTAGGATATGGGGTGACCCATCTGGTTATGCTGGGGACAGAGTCCTTTCATGCAGGCTAGGCTGGTCCTGAGGGAACCCATCCATCCTGTCTTGATATAGGAAGTGGAAGGCTCTGGAAATGGGTGGAGGGGGGAGACAGTTCCTTAGGCAGGAGCCAAGGGCTTTTGCATTGGGTTCTGCCACCTTCAGGAATTAGATGATCCAGGTCCCTGTCCCTTGGCCAGGGGAGGAACTAGCCATGTCTCCCAAGCTTGCTGCCCAGGAGATGGGAGAGGGCTGTGGAATCTTGCTGGCTGCAACAGGCTGGGCATGAGAAGGGGTTGCTGCTAGGGGGCTGTGACCCCAGGGTGTCATTTGGTTTTACATAGTGTCTTGAAATTCCTTGAGCCTCTGCAAGAGCCACAGGTCTGGTTGCCACTGATGGGACTCCCCGGCCCACCTTGCTATATAAGCCCTTCTGTCCTGATGCTGGGGAAGAGGAAACCTATCTGGGTCTTTGGCATTGAAGAGTAATGCTTCCAAATCCACTTCCTCTGGCCTCTCATTTATTCTTGCGAACCATAAATATGGTTTGAATAAGTATTTGGCCAACCATTGTGCTGTGGCATAGGACACTTATGAGTAAGACACAATTCCATTCCTCAAGGCTCTGGTGAGGGGGGAGGTGGGTGGGGAGACAGAGCTACACGTCCATAAATAGCAAAAGACAAAATGTGCTGGGGGCCTCTGATCTAGCTTGGGGGCGGGAGTGGTATTGGGGATGGTGGCTCTGTAGGGGGGCTCTTCCCCTGACATTACCTCTAGGCTGTCCCTTCACGGATGAGTAGAAGACAAATGGGGGAGGTCCAAAGGGTCGAGGACATCCCAGGCAGAAGGGAGGGCAGAGGCACAAAAGTGGGCAGGGAGTGGGTGAGGGGTTGAGGCTGCAGACACAGGCAGGGGTCAGCTCAAGGGGAGCCCATAGCGCCACACCCAGAGCCTGGGACCTGTCAGGGACGAGCAGCAGCTGAGCTGCTTTAAACGCGAGTGACCCCGGCAGATGCACTTCACCACGGGTGCCTGGCAACAGTGTGGGAGGCAGGGAGGCCAGCAGGAGGATGCTGCAATCTTCCAGGGGGAGATGCCCTGAGGGTGGGGAGGTGCCTTGGGTGACTGGCAGTGTGGGAGCTTTGGTCTACACTATAAGGAGGATAGGAGACAAGGTCTCTGCCCTCTGGGAGCTTTCGGTCTAGTAAGCACTCACCTTGTGCTGGTTCCTACACTGGTTAACCCCAAGTCTACACAGCAGCCTTGGAGGATGGTTGCTCTTGGCTTCCCCCTCTGGATTTCTGCTGGAGCCTCTAAACTGGCCTCCCTGATTCTCCTCTGGTCTTCCTTGATTCTCATACAATAGCCAGAGTGAGCACTAAAATGGAAATTAAATCATGTTACCTTTGGCTCAAAACCCCCCAGAGACCCTGTTTTACTCAGAGAAAATTCCAAATGGCCTTAAAAAGCCTGTACCATCTAGGCTGCTTCTACCTCTCTGGCTACTCAATGACTCCAGACTCCCCTTTGTCACTTGGCTCCAGCCAAGTGCATCTGTTCCTCGGATGCAGTAGGCATGCTCCTGCCACAGAGCCTTTGCACTGACTGTCCCCTCTTCCTGGAGCATTCTTCCCCACACAAGGCACGTATGGCCGGATCTCATACCTTCAGGTCTCATAACCTCTTCAGCAAGGCTGACCTTGACTACTGCATTTGCTATTGATCTCCCTTCCTACTCTGCTCTTGGGTGCCTCCTTTTCACAGTCCCTTCTTTTTTCTCATAGCATGTACCACCCTCTAACCGATTCTGGAACAGCGCTGTCCAATAGAAGTTTAATGTGAGCCACATATGTAGTTTAAAATTGTCTAGGAGCCAGCTTTTTAAAGGTAAAAAGAAACAGGTGAAATTAATTTTAATAATATACTTCATTTTTCCCCAACATATTTCAACATCTAATCATTATAAACATTAATATTATATTATTATTATTTTAAGAGACAGGCCTCTCTTTGTCACCCAGGCTAGAGTGCAGTGACACAATCGTGGTTCACTGTAGCCTCGATTTCCTGGGCTCAAGCAGTCCTTCTGTCTCAAGTTCCTGAGCAGCTAATTTTATTAGTTTTTTATTTCTGTAGAAACAGGGTGTTGGAGCCAGGCTCGGTGGCTCAGCCTGTAATCCCGCGCCTTGGGAGGCTGAGGTGAGTG